TCGATCGGAACGCGTGACACCTCTGGCTTTACATAATAGAAAAACAGATAACAAAGTAAATGTCCCGAAAAATTAAGAAATTGGAAGTTTTTTGAATTGCTGGCAAATGGATGTCTGGGCTAAGGATAAATAATGCACTTTTACTGTTAACAAATCTGCGAAACTTGAATACATATGATGGAGTAGAATAAAAACAGGTGTTAGTGGAAAATTAAAGTTTACTCTAAGGGTTACCAAAATATAGTAGACACAAAATAGTACTATAAAACGAGTAATCGTCAAGTTTATTTTCAATTGAAAAGGTACAATGAAGGAACTTATTACAACAAAGAATTACCTTATGTGCCAAATACCCCTCCAAAATTTGTCCAAATTACTTGTAAACCCCTGAAAAACCAAGTCATCGACTGTGGACCTCTAACATAAAATGAGACAGAATGGTAAGAATTATAAGATCAGGCAAACGAAATGGCTTTTAAAGCGTAAAGAAATTACAAAATTCAATTCAGACCAGCTTCTTCTAATGACAAATAGGTGATAAAAATTAAACTTAAGGCCAAAGCTCTGATAAAGGAAATTAAAGAGATGATGCGGCAATCTGTTGGGTGCAAATCTTTTAAAGATGAAGGTACCTTGTGAAAAGTATGGCATCCTATAAAACGATTAAGCATCACTTTGCACAAACCAAATAAAGGAATATTTAAAGTTGCAAATTTTACCATATTGGAAAGGGCGACTAGGTCATCCAGGACAACCAGGCTAACCTCGAAGACGGCCTTACGGTCGGGTTCATCCCAGCATGGGAAAGCACGGCAAGCATTAGCAGGCTGTCAAAAATAAAGATACAAATGGATTAAACAATGTTAATATCCAATGTAATAAATTGGCCATGTTAATATTATTATAATTGCAACTAAAAAGTACAAAAAACAAGATTCACGATAGTACAGTACCTCAAAATCTGTTGCAACCACATATTTTGTCTGTCCATCGGTGGAAGTATAAGAGCTAAGATAAAATCCCGTCATTGTGTCTGACAACT